GTTGACCATCCAACCTGACAGAACTGGAGAGGATCTGCAAGGAGGAATGGCAGAGGATCCCCAAATGCAGCTGTGAAAAACTTGTTGCATCATTCTCAAAAAGACTCATGGCTGTATTAGCTCAAAAGAGTGCTTCTACTATATACTGAGCAAAGGGTCTGAATACTTATGACCATGTGATATTTCAGTTTTTCTTTTTTAATAAATCTGCAAAAATGTCAAAAAGTCTGTGTTTTTCTGTCAATATGGGGTGCTGTGTGTATATTAATGAGGAAAAAAATGAACTTAAATGACTTTAGCATATGGCTGCAATATAACAAAGAGTGAAAAATTTAAGGGGGTCTGAATACTTTTCGTACCCACTGTATGTATTTAAAGCCTGGTGTGGACTCAGCTTTACTCACCAGCCTGCCGTTTCCTGAGTGTGACGTAAGGCAACAGGTCATGGCGAGTGATAATCCTTAGAAGCTGGAGAACATGTCTGAAGTTGGTCTCATCACAGCGGCCCTGGCGCTCTAGGGCCAGCAGGAAATCCCTTCCATTCCTGATTCCCCCACGCTCATACTCATCAATCACGTCCACAAACAGGAAAGACAGTACCCTAACATCCCGATGTGTAAGGTGTGCTCCAACTATGTCAAACATGCGGTGGAGTGAGTACAGTCCATGGGAGTTGTCCACTGCTTCTTCAGGCCATGGTTCAAAGCAGCCATCTCTTCTGGACAGGTTGGCGCTGGTGCCGGAAGCAGAAACCATCCTTTTTTTTTTGTTGACACACTGGAGCAGCCTGGCCTCCCCGTCAGTGTCCTGTGTTCCAGAGGACCAGCGGATGCACTGCTCTGACTCGACTCCAGTTGATTAGCCTGAATGTGAGGCCGGGCCCGCTGAGCAGAGGAGTTCTGGGCAAGCTGAGGAGGAATAACAGCATTGGGGAGTTGTGGTTGCTGTGATGTCATCTCAGGGCCCAATGGTGATTAGGGATGCTCTTATCCCAGCCCCTCCTTCTATCTTCCTCCACTCCAACTGATGAGCTATGTACAGAAAGTAGGGGATCACATGTTAATGTACAGTCATTTGTTTTTCTGTCATCAGTGGCCACCATCATTAACCACATACAGCTGTGTCACTTCTCATAAGGACAACTGCATCCTGAAATTTGCTTATGACACCACAGTCACTGGACTTGTGTACAGGAATGTACAGGAGTACATGGAATGCGTACAGGAATGAGGTGACAAGTCTGGTGAAATGGTGCGAGGAGAACAATCTCATCCTCATCAGTGATGACCTCACTGATGATACTGAACACCACCCAGCTCAGCAAGCTCCTCAAGAAAGCACAATAGAGACTGTACTTCTTGAGAAGGCTGAGGAAATTCAGCATGTCACCAAAGATCCTGAACGACTTCTACTGATGCATCACCGTGAGCATCTTGACCAGCTGCATCACTGTGTGGTATGGGAACCCCACTGCAAGGGACCGCAAGCGCCTGCAGAGAGTGACGAAGACTGCTGAGAGGATCATCAGGATACCACTACCCTCTCCGCAAGACATCTCCCACTGCAGACTCCACAGAAGAGCCTGCTCCATTGTTAAGGACTCCTCCTACCTCCAACACAGATTGAACCTTCGGCCATCTGGCAAGAGGTACACAAGTGTGAAATGCAGGATGTCCAGACTGAGGAACAGCTTTTACCCAACAGCCATCAAACTTTTTAAATAGGTCAAATGCTCGCTGGCCTTGACACCATCCTGAACTATGTCAGTCTGTTTATAAATCTAGCTGCCTGAGGGTGAAATCTCTGTCATCCTGCTTGCTTGGGCCTAGATGCTTCTAGATCTCCTTCCTGACGGAAGCAAGGAAAACAGATGATGAGAAAGATTGCAGGGGTCCTTGATGATGTTCATTGCTTTGTTAATACAGCATTCAGAGTAAAGGTCTTTTTAGATACAGAGTGGCGCAAATAAGTGATAGGAAATAGCAATTTTTTTGGAGGCAAGTTAAAAGCACCACATATATTTACACCAAACATGATGTGTACATGGAATGTAAAGTTCTACAAGGTCTCGCCACAAAAGTCCCTATCAAGTGATAATGACCTGCACATGCTGGCTAAATACAAAGAGTGCATCCTATACTGATAAAAAGGGTGCTTGGTGCAAGGGATTAAACTGTACTGTGATCATTTTGGGCCTACATCAGGATGTCTGTGGGATGGTCTGAGGTGATGTTGCTGCTACCACAGCACTTGAAAAGGCAGAGGAGCAATTACAATGACCCGATTGACCCAGAATAGCACCTGACCATATGTCTATGGTAAACTCCACTTGAATAAATAAATCAGATAGGTTTAGCTGGTGGGTTCATCATGTGCTTATGGTAACAATGTTGTAATATTCCAGAAAGCTGGCTTGTGATTGGTCACGTGTATTTTTTCTAACTTTTACGCTTTTTAAAATATTCAGCTTTTTTTTTTCTTTTCAGAAAATGTTCATGAATGAAATCTACAAATCCCCTTCAGCTTCCTCTTCTTTCAGCCTTAACGGTTTCAGCATACTTTTAGATACAGACACCACTCAGCCTTTAAACAGGTCACAAAAGATTCAACTGTAAGTCTTCCATTCAGCTTTTTGAGGTCATTTATAGTTTGAATTTTGCTGTTTAAATTTCATTGTGATTTTGGACATTTTTTAGCCTCTCTGAAAGCTCAGAGCCTTGCTCCTTGTGTCAGCTAATTTGTCCTATCCTAGCAGGACATATCAAGTGTGTTCTGGTTCTACTCTGGGTCTCTGACCAGTTGGAGATGCCCAGAAGACCTCCAAAGAGAAGCACCCTGGAGACATCATGATAAGATGTCTGAATCACCTCAACTGGCTCCTTTCGATGTGAAGGAGCAGCGGTTCTACTCGAAGCCCTCTCTTGATGTATGAATTACACACCCCATCTCTAAGGCTAAGTCCAGCCACCCTGCGAAGGAAACTCATTTCTGCTCCTTGTATTCGTAATCTTATTCTTTCGGTCACTACCCACAGCTCTTGGCTGTAGGTGAGGGTTGGAGCATAAACTGACTGGTAAACTTGAGAGCTTTACCTTTGGGCTCAGCTACTTCTTCAACATTTATTTATTTATTTTCCCTCCTTTTCCCTTTCTTGCGTTTCATAGACTGCATAAGTTCGAAATACCCACACTTCACAGACTACAATCTTGTAAAACACTTTATATTTTTTTGTAATGTCATGTATCTGTTGTCTTGTCTCCCGTGTTTGGTACTGTTTTGTTAATGTGTTACTTTGTTTCAATAAAAACAAAACTATA